CTCTCTCTCTCACACACACACACACACACACACACACACAGAGGAGTATTAGCCATAAAAAAAATGACATCTTCCCATTTACCACAACATGGATGGAGCTAGAGAGCATAATGCTAAGTGTAATAAGTCAGTTGGACAAATACCACAGGATTTCACTCACATGGAATTTAAGAAAGAAATGAACAAAGGGAAAAACAGACAAATCAAGAAACAGACCCTTAATTACAGAGAGCAAACTGATGGTTACATTGGGGATGAAGGCGGAGGGGGATGGATTAAAAAATGATAGGGATTAAGGAGTGCACTTTTCATGATTAGCACTAGGTGACATATGGAGTTACTGAATCACTGTACTGTACACCTGAAACTAATATAACACTGTGTGTTAACTAACGGGAATTAAAATCTTAAAAAGCCAAAAAAATAGTTAAAATGGTAAAATAAATAAATAAATAAATAAATAAATAAATAAAAATAAAAAACAAAGTGTCCTGACTCATTGAGTCTGTAATAGTTATCTCATGGCTTAATATTACATCTATATTCACTAATGTTATCTGTATTACAACTCCTGCCAATCAGAAATGCAGTATTTTAACAGTGAAAAGTATTTTACATTCTCCTTAATACAGGATCACAGACTGTTAAAAAATTGTAAAGGAAATTCCTTACACTTCAAAATCTTTGCAGTTTTTTACTGGCTATGACTTGTAACTCTATTCCTTCACTTCATTAGGATTTCTGCTCTGCCTCACCTCCTAAAAGCTGCACTCCCTCTCTATTCTCTCTGAACTCTTCCTATCTGAAAATATGTATTTCTTATTTGATTAAAATCTCTCAACCACACCAGAATATACCAGAATATAAGCTTCCTGAGGAGGGATCTTCTTATTCACCACTCTATCTCCAGCCACTACAACTCTGCCTGGGACACAGAATAGAATCCAATATATATTCTTGAAAACATGAAATGTACAAAAGCAGAATACCTTTCTGTTCTTACCTGTAAAGTCTTACCAAGGCCCATGCAGTGGGCTAGAATGCATCCTGAACCTGGAGATTTCTTTGTTTTTTTTACAGATTCACAGCAGCAGTCCCACATAAACTGAACACCTAAAAACAACAGCTTCGTTAAGTTTAATTTAAAGATCCAAGTTAAAAATCTTCCTTCATAAACACATCAAAAACATAACCAAACTTCTAATAAATAGAATTTTAAAAAGAGATAATCTTCTAAGTATAAATGAGATGCTCCCAAACCCAATAAGTTTAATTAGAAAAAAGGACAGCAAACACAAGCATACAGCCACTTCCCTTCATTCACTAATCTATCACAGCAAATCTTCATTCCCTGGGACGATTCAAAGAAACATATCAATAATCTAAAATAGAAATGTTATGCAAAATTTTATCCAATTTACAGATTCCTATCAAATATTCTTTCATGCTTGTTGAGTTTATCAGGAAAACAACCCAGGAGATAATTTATCATCTCTCCCCTTATTCAATAGTAAAGACCAAACAAAAAGGGGGATTCACTATCCAAGAAGTAGGAACTATAGAACTTCCCTTATGAATTCATTCATGTACACACTGAAAACTGACTTACTGATTCCATTCTAACGAAGTGGAGAAAAGGGATAATTTGGTATCTTTAAAAATACCAATGTCAGAATATTATTAACAAATATACCTGAAAATGTTCAAATAGCATTTTCTGAAGAAAGCTTTTAGCTAATGGTGGTACCTCTCCCTACCCTGCAGCTGCCCTTAGCCAACCACTGGAGACTATATGAATCCATTTGCTATATATACCATTTGTAAGTGGCACTTATTTCCCCTTCTATAACACTCATTTTCTTTACAATCATCCAGTGTTTCTCCTCATCTATTTATGAGCTCCATAGTGGGCAGGGTTCATGTTTGTTTTCCTCACCAATGTACTGCTAGTGCTTAGCAGAATGTAAGGCACACAGGAGACACCAAATATTGGTAAAACTTAATTAAAAATGCTTTAATTAGGGGCACCTGGGTAGCTCAGTTGGTTAGGCATCTGACTTCAGCTGAGGTCATGATCTCACGGCTCATGAGTTCCAGCCCTGCGATGGACATGTGATGACAGCTCAAAGCCTGAGGACTGCTTTGGATTCTGTGTCTCCCACTCTCTCTCTGCCCCTCCCTCCCTTCCTTGCTCGCTCTCTCTCTCTCTCTCTCTCTCTCAAAAATAAATATTCAAAAAATTTAAAAAAATAAAAAATAAAAAAATAAAAATGCTTTAATCATATCACTGTTTCTTACCATCTACCTGATGGGGTTTCAATTTGATAACCATATTTCTATGAACCTGCACTAAAGGTTCTTTGGTTTCTTCATCTTCATCTAAAACCAACTTGGTTGTTATTGGACACTTGGTGGGTGAAGCATCTTCAATTTCTATCACCTACAAGAAAGGGAATTATAGTTAGCCAACTCAGAGAAATCTTTCAAGCAATACTAAGGAAACTTTTCCAAAATATAGACACATCTACTTACACACCACATATCCAATACTTTGTTCAAAAAGATCAGGACATATCACAGGTTAATACAGGTTTTCCAAAATCAAAAACCTGTACAAGACTGAGTCACTGTGGTAATATGGTTAATTTAAATCATCAGTTCACACCTAACATGTATCAACACACGTGATAGGTAAAGCTGTTGAGAAAAGTAGTATTCTAAAACACTCTATATATGGTACCACCCTAAAGATTTGAATAGACACATGGCTCGCAAACAAGCATGGTTCTATTTTCTAGAAAACATCTGAAAATGTGCAAGGGCACATAAGGTTGTCACAAGGACTGGTATGTAACATAGGCAGAGAGGAAGGTAAATACAGATGTTCCACAATGTAAAAGCCAGTCCCAAACAAAAACTGACCCACCCAAGATGCCAAACGACTTCCACTGAAAAACAGTGGAAGTATGCGTTGTGAAAGGAAAAAACTTTTAGAAATACTGGTTTAAGAACCACAGGCTCAAAAACATGACAACAACATATAATATCCTCTAACTGCAAAAGGAAAACAGTTATCTTAAATAAGTTTCTTATTCAAAAGAAAACTTGGATATAAATACACATGAATACATGTATGTGTATACATTTTTTGCTGTCTTATCCCAATATGTATCCATTACATACTACAACCAAGAACTGTATAATATAGGTATAAATATTCCCATTTTACAAATTAAAAAAAAAGTGAGAGATCCAGAAGTTAAATGACTTATACAAGGTCATACAATTATCAAATATCACAACACTACGATTTACACCCAGAGGATCAGACACTAGAGTCCTTGCTCTTAACCACTACACAATACTATTTTTTTTTTTTAATTTTTTTTTTTCAACGTTTATTTATTTTTGGGACAGAGAGAGACAGAGCATGAACGGGGGAGGGGCAGAGAGAGAGGGAGACACAGAATCGGAAACAGGCTCCAGGCTCTGAGCCATCAGCCCAGAGCCCGACGCGGGGCTCGAACTCACGGACCGCGAGATCGTGACCTGGCTGAAGTCGGACGCTTAACCGACTGCGCCACCCAGGCGCCCCTACACAATACTATTTTAATAAAGGAAATGCTTCTATAAACAGTTTTGTTCCATGAAAACCAATAAAATTCATTATTTTGAAATTACACACATTATGGGGATCCTGGGTGGTTCAGTCAGTTAAGCATCCAACTCTTGACTTTGGTTTAGGTAATGATCTCACAATTCATGAGAATGAACCCCATGCTGGGCTCCATTCTGACAGTACTGAGCCTGCTTGGGATTCTCTCACGCTCTCTCAATGCCCCTCCCCCATTTGTGCACAGGTGTGCTCTGTCAAAATAAATAAATAAACTTTAAAAATAATTGCAGACATTACGATGTGTAAGGAATGTCATATAAGGAATAAAACTTAGCCAGTATTTTCTTTCTTATTTAAAACTGTAACTATGGGGGGAGAAGGAAGATGGCGGCGTAGGAGGACGCTGGGCTCACCGCGCGTCCTGCTGATCACTTAGATTCCACCTACACCTGCCTAAA